TGGAGAGAAAAGTAATGGGTCAGGAAAAACATAAAAATGAGGAAAATATAACAGAAGAATGTTCAGGAAATGGCAGAGAATGGCTTTTTAGAAACCTGCTATAAGTTTGTTGAGACTTTACTCTAGAATAATCTTTATGTCAGAGGTAGTAGGAAATCTTGGTGCAGTGCCAAGTTACAACCCATGTGTAAAATTTATTTTAGCCATATGGTGTTAAGTGATGTCTGTGAAGTGGAATGGTCACCAGAGCCCATCCGATGAAGTGGCATGGCACAGCATACACAATTTACTGTGAACAAGAAATTAATAGCAAAGGCTACTATTAAGGGGAAGTCAAAGAGAAGTGGAGAGGTTCCTGAAAATTGGGAGAACTCTGCCACACGATTTGACTAGATGCAAGGGCAACGCAGTGGTCAGTGATGGGCTACTAAAGGAGATCACGTGATTTGTGCCATTACTGTGGATACTTTCAAGGACACGGAGAGACGTTATACTGCACTTGTGAATGCCTTGTAATTATTGCTGACTTGTTTCTTGCTATTTTGGGTTTTTTAATCTCTTCAAGTGTGCTGCCCAAAATTCTGGTATTCAAAATATGTCACGTAAGCACACTTTTGCATGCACACACACATGCTGAGAACTACTATTTTAGGCCTTCATTGTTTCTATATGATTCTACACACAATAATCAGTAGGGAACGCTTTAAGGCTGATGTCCTGTTATGGCTCATCAAATAAGTCTTGGGCCGTATTTTCAGAATGTCTTTATATTGATTGCCTGCACTACATAAGAAGCACTTTTCGGTGATTTTAATTGGTTGGCTATAACTATGGCAACTGTATGTCCTAGATTTTCTAGGATGATCCTGATTTCAAGGACTGATTTAATTGTCTCTATAAGTACACAAATAGTAGTCAGAGCATGTGCTCCAATTTTTAGCTCACAAAACGCGATCATTATAGCGATATTCTATTTCGGCGCAGGTTATAGAATGTGAGTGCTCTACAGTGCAGCTGAAATGCTGCTCAGAGAGCTGGGAGAGGGCTATGACAGACAATACATTGATTAGTTTTTCCAGCTGGGGGCCAGGAACAGGTCTCTCCTCCCTGATACCTCATCATGCCAGGTCGTGTTCTTCTGTTTTTACCTCTTTCTCACTCATCTCTTTCTACACTCCCAAGAAGTGTAGCAGAAACAGTCAAGCGAGGTGGGAGAAGAAGGATCAGCAGGATTTTTGCCTTCTGCAACTTTTTTGAAGTTGGGATTGAAGAATCAGAGTATGTAGTGCAAACCTTCTTCTACCTTAAGACTTCTGAAATTTTGCGCGTTAGAGTGATTTGGAAGTCTAGGTGGATTTTTTTCGGGGGAGGGGGACGTTAGGGCTGCTTGGAATTTTGACAGAAAAAGCAATTATTTGTTTGTTTGTTTATCTGCAGCATTAATTCCAAAGGTTTGACATGGAGGGAAAGTCAGAAATTGCTCAGGATGAAGGAGTTGGAAGGTAATATTGTTTGATGGCCCAGCTAAGATGTGAGAAGGATCAAACTACTGCTCAGTTAGTTCTCTGCTCTGGATCAAAGTAAACTGTTGACACTCAGTGTTTTTACTTAGAGTGCTGGTTTCTTGGCTGGAGACTGAAGAAAATGTCATGTTGTGTTATTGTTGTAGGTATTTGTGTAGGCCTCACGTAACTGGGAGGATTTTTTGGTAAGCCTATGAGTACCCCAGAACCTTGGAAACATGGAACAGCAGGGCCTCTGGAAGACTAGGAGCCTTGACAGGGCCAGCCATTACAAAAACTGTAGTTGGACGGCCTTTCTGAATGCTAGGCAATTCTAGAAGCTTCTGGAGTTGTGGGTCTTCACTCTAGTGCCCTGTTACAGGACTAAGCTAATTCTTGGAGGTCTGTTTTATTTGAGTCTCCCTTTTGGTTGTCCTTTTTTCAGTACGTCTAAGCTTCTCACAGTTTCTTTTCTTTTCTTTCTTTTTCCTTTAAAAAAAAACCCCCTATTTTGGACTTTATCGAATGATAAACAAATTTCTATGGAGTTTGGATAGCTATATATTCTTTGACAGCTTTATTGCTATGTAATTTATACATTATAAAGTTCATCCATTTTAAGTGTACCATTCAGTGAGTGTTGGTATATTGACTGAGTTGTGCAACCATCACCATAATCTAACTTTAGAACATTTTTATCACCCCCAAAAAAGAAACCTTGTACCAACTGGAAGTTACTCCTTATGTTACCCACAGCCTACCCCTGGTAAGCCCAATATACTTTGTTTTCTATAGATGTTTCTGTTTTGGACATTTTATTAAAATGGAATCATACAACACGTAGTCTTTTGTGTCTGGCTTCTTACACTTGGCATCATGTTCTTGAGGTTGATCCATATTATAGCATACAACGGTACTTCATTCCTTTTTATTGCCGAATAATATCCCATTGTCTGGATATACTACATTTGTTTATCCAGTCATCAGTTAACGGACATTTGAGTTTTTTTTATGCTATTATAAATGAAATTGCTTTCTTGATTTAATTTTGGCTTGCTAATTGCTAGTGTATAGAAATACAATTAATTTTTATATGTTGATCTTATATCCTGCAACCTTGCTGAAACTTTTTTAAAAAATTAGTCCTAATAGTTTTTTTAGTGGATTTCTTGGGATTTTTCTACTTATAATGTGATATCATCTGTGAATAGAGAGAGTTTTACTCCTTCTTTTCCAATATGGATGTCTTTTATTCTTCTTACAGTTTCTGCTTCCACTTCGCTTTAGTTTGCTATGATGCCTCAAGGTTCTGACTTAGTGTCATAGTTTCTCTCTTTGCTATGTTTTTGCATGTTCTGAATTTTCAAGTTTTGATGGAGATAGAGAAACGGGAAAGAGACATAGAGAGTCTGACTAGCTCAAGTGTTAGCTATTACTTTTGCTTGGGGAAAGCTTTGCATTCTAGCTTTTAGGTCTCTGGCTAATAAACGCTGCCTGTGGGTTAGATGATCACTAATAAGCTGTAGCCAGAGAGAAAAGGAGACCACAGGTTCCAGGTATCTCAAGAAATTTTCTTTAGAAGGGGCTATAGTCATGGCCCGGCTTTTAAACTGATATGGATAGAACAATATTGTTATAGTAGGTATTTTTCCAAGAATAAGATATATATTTTTTTTAAATTCAGAAAGTTTCTTTGTACTGCTGTTGGTTGGAATGGGTTATGAATTCTACAGTGTTTTTATTCTTTATTTTTTAAATTGAGGTATAATTGACATACATTATATTAGTTTCATGTGTACAGCATGATTTGCTATTTGCCATACATTGCAAAATGATCACCACAATAAGTTTAGCTAACATCTGTCCCCATACATACTTAAATTTTTTTTTCCTTGTGATGAGATTTTCAAGATCCCCTATAGTTAAACATACTGTACTGCATATCTAAAGTATTTTTAGATTGCCTGATAAGACCACTTACATGTTTCTGTAACAGGAAAAGTGAAGATACCACACTACCTTCTCATGATTAGCTTTCATCATCTTTATTTGGTTGAAAGAATTTACTTAGTAGTCTAAGGAGATAATATATTCAAGGTAACTAGTGGTTTGCTCATCTCTCTACTATCTCCAAGAAACTCTTTCTTTGTAAATAGCTATTTTTGTAGGAATTTATTGAGCATCTGTTTTATGTAGAATCTCCAATATGTGCTATATATTGGGGTAATAAGTGAGGAGGATGTGTTTGTGGAGGGGAGGTCCCGAAGAAATGAAAGGCATAATTTCTGGGATTTTTAGTTCTTTGTAGAAGGAAGGTTAAAATATATTATACAACTTGATAGCACATACAAAATGACCAGGGATACAGAGGTGAAAAAGATATAGTCTCTTCTCTAAAGATTCCTACGATAATGTCAGCACATAATTGGAGCTCAATAATGTTATTGCATTTTCTGGATACTTTTGGAATGAGAGGATGCTGTGCTGTGTTGTGGTTGGCTGCTTTTAATGTTGAAAGGGACTACTTGAAGATAGTACCATCACTAACCTGATTTCTAAAGAGAATACATACGCCTCTGTAAGACTAAGTTCATATGGCTAAACTTATATGCCACAGAATATTTAGCAAAAAGTAATTTTTAAATGTGTATGTAGACAACTTAAAAATTATTTACTGGTCTTATAGAGTGAAATACCGAGCTAGAAGTTTTCCAGAATAGATCTTCTCATCTTTGTCTGATGTAGTTTGAATTCCTCCACTAATTTATGCCGTCGTTGGCAATCACTTTACTTTCCGCTGCCTCATCATATTATGGCCCAACTAGCTTATGTAATTTAAGTGAAGGGAGACGCAAAAAGTGAAGGTTCTGCATGTTTAGCGCAAATAATTTATGTTTTCTGTTTTGTCATATGCAGATTTGAAAACCATAATATTTAAAATTTTACATTACAAAAAGAAATAAAATAGTACATAGTTCATGAGATAAAGCTATAGGCCAAATGCAGGGTTTTACTGTTGTCGTTTTTTACGGCTAAGGCTAAAATAAAGAAATGCTAAATTTTGCCTCAGTGATTTGTTTATAAGAATCTAGGAACGGCTCCATTAGGAGACGGCATCTCCCTCATTAAACTTTGAGTTCCTTTAGGAGATAGATTGTATCTAACTTACTAGTCTAAATTTCTAGAACACTATCTTCAAAGCATGTTTTATGAGACGAACGAACTTCCTCGTAAGCTGCCCAGTTAGAAGGCTTTCCACCAGTCAAGACCTCACCTCCCAGAATGCCAGGCTCTCCTTGCGCTCTCAGGATTAAGGCGAGAATATCCCAGCACCCATCGCTGCAGATCGAGACTACAATTCCCACTATAGCCAGGGGCTCCGGAAACCTTGTCAAACACCGCCTGTTGCCATAGCATCCGGGTCCAGGCCAACCAATCCGGTGCCCCTGCCGAGTAGAGGCGGGCCGTTCGTTTCTCTGACCAACCGGAGGCATTTTTGTTGCGGAGCGTGACCGGAGGAGGCGGGAGCTCAGGACCCGCGCCTTCTCCTTGCTTCTTGGGGTCGTGGCCTTGCTCCCGTCGTGCGAGGAGAGGTCGGGCACGTCCACGCGCGTCTGTGCGCGTGGGGCCTGAAGTGCTCGTGGGTCCGCACTAGGTCTCTGCGGGAGCAGCAGCAGAAGCCATGGGCGGGACCGCCAGCACCCGCCGGGTCACCTTCGAGGCGGACGAGAATGAGAACATCACCGTGGTGAAGGGCATCCGGGTGAGTGACAGTGGGCGGGCGGAGGGCCAGCACTCGGACTCGGACCCCAAACCTCCGACCTTCCCGGGACCCGCTCAGCCCAGTTTCCCTCGTCCGGGCCCCCAGTGTTGTCTGGCCCGAAGCCGAGTTCTCTGCAAAGAAGCTTGAAGTTTCAAGACTTGGGACGTTCATTCAGAAAGATTTCCTGGTTGTGTGTCAAATGCTGAGTACTGTGCTGGGGCGGGTGAGGGATGCCAGGTTGATTTAGACCCTCCAAGGCCTCGCAGTCTAGTCTTGATTCCGTTGCTTACTAGTTGTGGGATTTGATTGGAAACCCCTGTCTCACAGTACCCATCTGTGAATAGGTACAGGACCCAAACCCTGCTTTTGCACTACCCACATCACCTCTCTCGGGGTGAATGGGCATTTTAAGGAACTCTTTTATTTATTGTATGTCATTTAGTACCCTCCCCCTGATACTACCCATTCCCCCAACGCGCACCCCCCCAAACTTTTACTTGCTCTGATACCACCCATCCCCCCACACCCACACTCACCCACCCGCCATAGACTTTTCCGGCCTGCCTCTGGTGACTTCTGGCTTCTCCCTCCTTCACTTGTCATCTCGTCTTTCCTATGCACCTCCTCTATGGCCTGCCACGCCTGAGTTTTGGACTAGCCCACTCTCTTCAGGACTAGTGCCTGCCAGTCTGATAGGGCTTAAGATAGAATTGCAATTTTTCAGACTGGTGGAAGTAATACAGTCAGTTTTGACGGAGACATGGGAGAGGCTTTTTAAATGCTCCCTGCATGTGCTTGATCCGTAATCTGAAAACTTGATCTTTCTCTAGGGTGTCAGCATACCGGCACTAACTTCCTTAACACACTGTCTGCTGCACCTGAATTTGGAGCCTCACATTTTTGGAAGTATGATGCCTGAACCTAGTAAATAGAGCAATTTGACTTCAGAAAGTTTTATAATATTTCATATTTTTCTTTTTCTGTTACTACACACTCATATAAGTAAATTTGTAAATTATTTTAGCTTTTGTTATTAGGAAATAAAACTTCTTAAATATTTAAAGTGTTTGAAAACTTTTTACTCTGAAACTGTTATCTTGAGAAGAATTTATTAAAGTTTTCTTTATAGAAACTCAGACTGTTGAACTCCATTTTTGGTCTGTGACCAGCATTTCTTATATTAATTAATGGTAGTACCACATTTTGTAATAAAATGTCTGAGGCTGCATTCTTTGGGTTGTTGTGGTTTAGTTGGTACTCTTTGGAGTAAAATAAAAATTACTGTGAACTCAGAGTTTTACGCAGAGATTGGTTTAATCTTGCCTCTAGGCTCTTTGAGTGTTCCACACCAGAGGGTGAAAAGGAAATAAAAGTAAGAAAAAGCAAAATAAGTTTTGGGTGAGAAGACATTGGCTAGAAAAATTTATAAATCCATGTTCTCGTTCTCTAGTACAGACACAGTGATGACAGCCAAGAAAATTATAAGAGAATTTGGCCACAGCACAGAGATGCATGTCAAATATTAGCTAAGGCTAAATAGGATAAGTATGAGAATAGGCATAGGTATTAGATTAAATGGAGAGTGTCTGAAAAAGCTTTTTTAAAACAAAACAACAGTAATCTGTGTCCTTTAGCCGCTCAACTTGATGAAGTAGTCTTTATTTTTTTTTCTTTCTTATAGAGTACATTTTATCTATATGGTTATAATTCAAGCACACACCATGCTCATTTTGACCTCTATGCTTTGCTTTTCTCCAGTATATACCCTTCACCTGGAATGCCCTTGCACAGTTCTTGCTTCAAATCTTTCTTTCTCAACGATGATTTGCAGTCTCTGAGCTTAAATTTTCTTATCTGCAAAATGATGGGGCATAAGTACATCTCTAAGATTTCTGATCTTTCCCAATTCTGAAATTCTTGAGTCTAGTGGCGCTGTAAGTTTCTTGTAGCCATACTCAGCCCATTGCTATTTGCTCTAAAAATGGCATGCTGTTGAACTGTTGAGTACTGAGGGATCATTCTCTTTTCTTTGAGGTCATGGTCAAAAGAGCATCAATTTGGGGTTAACAGACCTCAGTTTAAATCTCAGATTAGGTGTTTAATAACCTGCAGCCTTGGACAAGTCACTTCTCTGCTCGTATTTTCTCCACAAAGGGGAATACCATCTCTTCTTTTGATTGTGGTGAGATGATGAGGTAAGGTATTTAAAGCACGTGGCACATTGTAGATTTTTAATAGAAGGCACCTATTATTATGATAGGGCTCCTTCCACATCTAATACTCTTAGATTCTTTGGAAGTACTGTATAGGGTAGTGGAAAGAGCATGTGCTCTGGAACCAGGCAGACCTGGGTTTGGTCCTACCTCTGCCTCACACTGGCTGTGTGGCCCTGGACAAGTCACTTTTGATTGCATTTCCTTGTTCAGTATAACTGCACGCAGCCTGCTTCTGATACTTATGCATCAAACACTGCTTGTTAGAATTGAACATTATGTAAGCATCTAGCACAGTGTCTAGTACTTTGATGGTGTTTAGTACTTATGTGAGTAGTAGCTGTTATTAGAGCTGTTCAAGGGAATGGATATGTAAACTTATGTGAACTTAAAATAATTATATAAAAACAAGGGTATATAGTGCTCCCACAGGCACAATATACTGAAGGGGTGTGGACTGGGAATAGGGAGTCCTGAGTTCTGCAACTGATTGCCTGTGTGATTTTTGTCTAGGTGTTGTAGATGTTTTCCAGCTATTCTTCGTATTTTTGTGAGCTTGGCACAGTCATCTTGTTTCCCTCTGGGACATGGGGAAGGATAAACATCAATTTCAGTATGAGTGAGCCACTGTTTTTAGCTCAGTTGATTAAAACATGGTCTTGATGAGGCCTAAACGTCAGTGTTGAATTGCAGATGGGTTGGTTCAACTTGGCTGAAGAAAACTTTGCAGATTTGCCCAATTATCTAACATTTATGTCATCACTCATAGGAAGTGAGCGTGTACCAATGATTCAACAGACTCAGTCACTGCTGGAACCCAATTCAGTGCTCCACTGATAAGGATAGTAATTTCATCTTCATTTATCTTAATATGTAAGGAGTAACTTTTAGTAAGCAGCATAAGGCTTTAGGGAACTAGGCCGTGTTTATTAATGGATCATGTTTTCACAGGTTTTTCTTGCTGAGGTCCTTAACAATTAGCAATTAAAGGACCTACTTAATTTAAAGTTTCTTCTCACCTACCAGATGTTATTTTCATGGTATTTTAGGGTCTTGTTTTTTTCCTTTATCCTTAGCAATTGATAGCTTTCCCCCACTTCCATAAAATAACCCGTATTCTTACACCTGATTCCAACTTGGAATCTGAAACGACTCATGGGCTAGATGAAAGGCCACCCTCTTGCCTTGCCCTCCTCTCAAGTCTAAAATAAATTTCTAGTGATATAAAGACCAGGCATTTTCATTACTCATATTACATGTGCTTAATGGGATTTTTCTGAGCACCTGCTGGCTGTGCTTCGAAAGTGTGCCTTCCACTCCATCTTTCACAAGTTTATCTGAAACATCAAGGCTGTGAGTGAACTTCCAGAGCAAATGTCAACTTCAATGAGTGTCATTTTCAAAGTAATATTTATCATGCTTTCCAGGCATAAACTAATCTCTGCAACTGGTTTTGAAGTTGCAAGCTGAAATTCACAGGAGCCAGTTATGGTAGTGTGGGTACTTAACATGGAACACAACTAGTGCTTTGGGAAGTATGGGCAGTTGAGAGCCCCTGAAGGAAGAGATTATTTAATGTGGGATGTTGTGGAGGATCCTGGAGAGGGTGCAAATCCAGTCAGTCACTGGGGTGTTGAGGAATGTTGTCAAGTAATTCAGTTAACTGGTAAATGATTGGTCCTTTCTATGTGAAAAGCCCATGAATCTCTTGGGTATAGTACTGTGTGAAGCATTCTAGGATGTTATACAGAACGAAGTTCATGTTTTCCACTAATAACAAATGCAAAGAAATACAAGTGACAAACCACAAACATAGGCTAAAAACTAATTTTATCTATCTATATATATATGTGGCATTCCCCCCTCCCCCCTCAGGCCCTTAGGTAAGTCTTTGGGAGTGATTTCTTCCACATAATAATGACAGTTTTTGGAGCCTATATCTTAAAATGATAGTTGAAAAAGCAAACTAATGTTCTCACAGAAAATGACCTGTACTACATGGAAAGAAGATCAAATGAGAAAAATGGGTCTGAGTCCTTTAATCAGTTTGATAAGACACATCTGGAACACGAGAAAAACTAATATGGAGGTGAGGGTCTGGTTTGTTTCTGTCTCATGTGGTTCTTAACTTGACCTCTTAGAGAAGGGCCACTTAAAAGGAGTTCTCCTTTTCCTTTTACTCTGTTCTTTGGAAGTAGAAATACTTTATGTGTGTCCATCTCACCCAGTCTCCCGTTGCTCAGAAAATACCGGATTCTTGGTTGGTGGGTGGTATATTTGTGCTAATTTTAGATAAGACGAACCAAGGTGGGTGGGAAGAGATGAGTGGGAAGACTGTAGAAGATGAGACACATCTTTTCCTCGTCCCTGGAGCACATGTTGGTGTGGTGAGTAGTGTGACCCAAAACTTGGCAAGCCCCATTTACTTATATTTGTCTTTAGGAGCAGTAGAGAATAGGGTGGATAATCAAAGTCAGTGGACTGAATTCTGCCATTTTGGCAGGCCCTCTTCTCTTGGTTCTCCCTTATATGAGAACAGTGGTTCTTAACTTCTTTTGGTGCATAGAGTACTGTAAATCTAAGCTATGGACTCTGTCCAGAACAGTGCAATGAGCAGACAACTTTGTGTACAGTTGAGGAATTAATTCATAGACTCCTGAGTCCATGGACCTCATGACATAATTCTAGCATTAGTGTGTGTCTGATGGAGGTATTTCACCATTCTTTGCTACAAATAATTTCTGTAAATTGCACTTGGTATTCACCTTGATGGAGATTCCAGAGATC